CATGTACATGTACAGGTTTATTCAAGGAAAATCAAAGTTTTTTAAATGACAAAATTCTTATTTTCTTGCCGTCGTTCTAAATGACGATTGAAATAAAACTAACTTTTAATGTGAATGTAGAGTATCCAACCAAAATGAAACAACTGACTGGAAGTACAGGGACGAGACCTGGAGAGAGAGAGAGAGAGAGGGGGGGAGAGGGAGAGGGAGAGAGAGAGAGACACAGAGAGGGAGGGTATTACATTGTAACTAGGGCTGAAACGAATAGTGAGATATTCGAACATTCGTTCATTAAAGCAATATTCAAATAGTTTTTTGCTATTCGAACTATTTGCCTAATAAAATTATTAATGGTTATTGCATTATTAACGACCACGCCCACCACATGTCACCTGCACAGGCGCTTTCTTAGTCTATTTCTTAGTCTGTTTACTTACCAACTGGCTAAATACTGATGCTGTGGCCAGGGAAAGTGGTTCTCAATCTCTAAGAAGCCTTGTTTGGCATAATTTTGAAAAGTTTAACACCAAAAAGGTAGTTTATAATCACTCAGCAATAACAGTTCAATTATTCAAATATTCGTTCGTTTAGCTGCCAACTATTTGAATAGTGAAAATACTATTCCTTTCAGCACTAATTGTAACTGGATCAATACTATTATATTCATTAAAGCTATTTTGGCATAAGATCAGTTATACTTATAGTGCTGACTCAACCTGTTCACTAAACCAGTTTATTCAAGGAGATATGTCACTGATTAACAAGCACCAGCAACCAATGTACAGTGTACATGTACTGTACATGCAGGTTATATGGAATTTTAAAGTTGTTCAAAAATTGTGCAAAGGTCCCTGTAGTATGAAATGAAAAGTAGAGAATTCTCCATTTTTATTACATTTCCTGATACATATACATGTACTTATGTTGCGTAGAAAGTTTGAGCTGATTTTGTTCAAAATTAGATTTTTTATGAATTTTAAAAGTTACTCCAAAATCGGATAAAAGTCCCTGTACTATAGTACAGGGTCACAGGCCAAATTTCGCCAAAAATGAAAAGTAGAGAATTCTCCATTTTTATTACATTTCCTGATGCATATACATGTACTTATGTTGCGTAGAAAGTTTGAGCTGATTCCGATCAAAATTAGATTTTTTATGAATTTTAAAAGTTACTCCAAAATCGGATAAAAGTCCCTGTACTATAGTACAGGGTCACAGGCCAAATTTCGCCAAAAATGAAAAGTAGAGAATTCTGTATTTTTATTACATTTCCTGATGCATATTCATGTTCTTATGTTGTGTAGAAAGTTTCAACTAATTCCGATCAAAATTAGATTTCTTATGAATTTTTAAAGTTACTCCAAATGCCATGTACATGTACAGTACCGTATAGCGGGAAATTTTGGAGGGAATTAAATTTGGCGAATTTGTCGTTTTGATAGCCATTCGCCAAAATAAAATCCGCCATTTTGAGCTTTTATACGCATGCTCAATGGCTAATTCGTCAAATTAAAATCCGCCAATAACCAAAATTTAGCAATTCGCCAAATTTACTCCCTCCAAAATTTCCCGCTATACGGTATTACAATGGATGAGTATTGGTTTATTATTATTATTATTATTATTATTATTATTATTATTATTATTATTACCTGGTTGGTTTTCTGCTCCTTGGTCTACTGGTACTACCTCCTCTGGCCCCGCCTACTCCAGTAGCCCCGCCCATCCCGTCAGACACATCACCGTCCTGAAGTTGAAATATCGTTGAAAACTCACGTCGATACTTCTTGAATATGACAGAAATGACTTCAAATTTTCTCTCAAGTGTTTCGACTTTCTCTAAATATAACTGAGGGAGTTTGGCCATTTCTAACCACTTCTTGATCTTACGAAAAAACTCAATTAACCTGAGGAGAGAGGGAGGGAGGGGGAGGGAGGGAGAGACAGACAGACAGACAGACAGACAGAGACAGAGACAGAGATAATGATATTGACTTTGTTGCGTCTAGACATCAAACAGGCCCAGTTGGGCTATAAGTTAGTAATTGATGAATGAATGGTAGACTAATAAGCAGCTGCTATAAGGCACTCGTTAGCAGGTGCCAAACTAGTTTAAATTATAAAACAACATCCAAGAAACACTATACACACATTTATATGTACATATATGTAATATGTATAGTACAGGTATATAATGTACATGTATAATACAATGGAAGAGTGTGTATTGTATTATTATGGAGACAACATGAACAGTTAGTCCATTGAATAGAAACAGACAATTAACATATGTAATGTACATGTATGGTACATATGTAAGGGAATGCTGATCTCTGTCTCTCTCCCCCCCTCTCTTTCTCTCTCTCTCTCCCTCCCTCCCTCCCTCCCTCCCTCCCTCCCTCTCTCTCTCTCTCTGTCTCTCCCTCTCCCTCCCTCTCTCCCTCTCTGTCTCTCCCTCTCCCTCCCTCTCTCTCTCTCTCTCTCTCCCTCTCTCTCTCTCCCTCCCTCCCTCTCCCTCCCTCCCTCCCTCCCTCCTCATAATCATTACTTTATTTTAGTAGTCCTCACTATTTGTGTTAGACTGATACTGTTCCCACTGTACTGCTCCCCATCCATTGTTTGAGTAGTAATGGAGCGACACGCTATGTAGAGGGAACAAGCCAACCATTCTATCTGTGACCCCTAGGGGGAG